AGCGTAGCAGTGATCACTGCTCTGAGAGTGAGAGGGGGATTGAAGCTAGGTAGTTTTCCAAGCATGCCCCTCCCATCCAAGATTGCTTCAGCTGCCCCCTCCCCCGAGTGGGTGCTATTGGCCCCAAGATGCTGATTATCCCTGAGCACTAAGCACTGCAGCGTCTCCCTGTCATTTGGGAGCTTGCTTTTCTCATGAAGCCTTCCCAAATTGCTGTTGCGGGGGGGGGGGTCCCCCCAAAGCGCAGGCTGAATCTTCCTGTGGGCTGCTGCCGCCACCTAGTGTCCAATCTTCATGCCTGCTTCGGCAGCGGTAGGCTAAAGGCAATTTGAGGAATGGGACCTAGGTTGTCCAAGAACCTGCATCATCCCTTTCTGGGCTCAACTTGCTCCAACCACTTCTGTTTCCGGGTAAGTAAAAAGTGATATACCCAGCCCCTGGGAAATTTCATTGGAACTTTAGATATAGAGTTGTGGGCCTCAGGTTTTGGAGGCCGTGTGGACTGGGAACCAGACATACGTAGTTCTTTCTTTTTTTTTTTTTTTTAGTACCGGGTATCTCGGGTCCTTGTGCCTACAGGACAGGCGGTGGAACCACTGAGGTAAATCCCTGGCCCAGACATGCGTAGTTCTACTCCTTTTTGGTGTGTTCTTATCCTGAGTCGCATTTTTCCCATGTGTAAAAGAGGCAGAACTTTTGAGATTAATTGAGCACAAGGATGTGAAAACACTTTGAAAACTGGCAAAGAGATGAGGATAGATTATCAAGTCATAATAATAATGATGATGATAACTAACAGGTCACAGCAGCCTGGAGCCAGGCCCCTGGAACTCGTGGAAAGAGCAGGACAAAGTAACTCTTGGGTAGGCACAAGTTTCCCTCTCTGAATATAGAATTTCTGAGGCTGGCCTTACACTCAAGGGTGCTTCAGGGATGTGTAGCTTGCTAGAGAGTGGCTCAACCCAGTCCACAGGAGGGGAATCTGAGGCCTAGGGAGTGTGCAGGCCTTTCCTCAGCCACTGAGCCGCAGATCCAAGAACAAGAGGCCCATTGGACTGGAGCCATTACAGCCCTGGTTTTCCCCTCCTTTAGATGGGAACAGCTCACAGCTGGGGCCCAAGAGACCAGGAATCAGGAAGCTCCCCTCATTGTGGTACAGTGGAGCCTAAGGTCCCCAGGCCCCCATGAACCCTCCTCCTGGGCTAGCCTCTCTCCCCTCCCCTGCCCAAATCCTCCCACATTCCTCCAGGCAACAGGAAACCCAGCTGCAGCCCAGACTTCAAACAGCTCCTCCCTTTGGGGCAGGAGGTGTGGGAGGAGAGGCCAGGGGCCAGAGGGCAAAGGTCAGCTTTGTTCCTACCAGAGGTGGTGAGGGACCTGGGGAAGGGGGGGGGGGCAGGGTAGAGTCCTTGGCAGCCACACTGCATGTGTGTGAATTCTTGTGTCCATCAGTGTGCACAGCCCTGGCTGGCTGGCTGTGTCTGGGGATAAATGTGTGTCCTTGGTTTGCTTTCCATTCTTGAACCTGAGTTAGAGGTCTGACTTTGAGTCTGTACTTGTCTATCTGTAGATGCTCACCCTAGGTCCCTACTGATATAACTGTAGGTGTCATCAAACATATTGATTTGCCTGGTTCACAGGCCTGGTCAAAGCTATGTATTCTTCTATAAGTGTGACCTGGTGTGATTTTCTGTGTCCAAGAGGGTGTCCTCTCTTGACTCTTCTCTTATCCTTTCTTCGTATTAGTTACCAGAAGGTTCCTTCTGAAAAGTGATTCTGACCTTGTTACTCCCCTATTCAAAAGCTACAGTGGCTTCCAATTGCCCAAGGCTTAGCGCAGCAGCCAAGTGCGTGGCTAACCACTCCTTCCTCCATCACTATCTTTATTCTTAGCTACTGCCCTCCTCAAGTTTTTGTTTTTGTTTTCATACTGGGAATTGAACCCAGGGCCTTCACATCCCCACCTACATCCCCAGCCCTTTCAAATTTTATTTTGAGACAAAGTCTTGCTAAGTTACTAAATTTCCCAGGCTAGGCTTGAACTAGCAATCGTCCTGCTTCAAACTCCCAGAGTGCTGACATTACAGGTAGGCAGAGGGCTGGTGATTTAGCTCAGTGGTTCTGCCACCTGCCCTGCAAGCGGAAGGACCCGAGTTCGATCCTCGGTACAAAAAAAAAAATATATATATATATATATATATATATATACACACACACACACACACACACATACATACAGGTAGGCACAACCATGCCTGAGGCTCTCCTCAAAGATTTTTAAATTTTTTGTTTGTATTAGTACATGTTTGCAGTACATAATGATTACATTCATCATGAGGTGTTGGTAAATGTGCATAACTCATCTTAATTCTTTTTACATCCCCTTCCCCATCCCCTCAAACTTTATACTCCAGTTATATCTACCTAATTGTAACTCTGCAGTCCTATTTCCTGCCTCTGAGCTCACTTAATTCTGTCTAGTCTGGAATGTAATATCTCCCCCCACCCATATTGGGGATTGAACCCACAGCCTCATATTGAGCTACATCCCCAGCCCTTTTCATTTTTAAATTTTGAGACAAGATCTCACCAGTTGGCCCAGGATGTCCTTCAATTTACAATCCTCCTCCCTCAGCCTCTCAGAGCACTGAGTGCTGCAATTACAAGTGTGCACCACCTTGTCCGGTTCCTTTTTTTTTATTTCACAAGGTGTCACTAAGTTACCCAGGTTGACCTCAAAAAAGAGTTTTCTTTTACTCTTTTTTTGTTTGCTTCTAGTGAAGCAACCTCTCGGAGAAGCTTCCAGACACTGCTGCCAGCCCATTCTCCCACAAACCCTGTATTATCATTTTCTGACTGTGTCGATCTCCAGAGCACCCATCACCATTAAACTGCCTGCTTTCTGGGAGCAGGAAATGTGCCGTATCTTTTGTCCTGGGATATGACCTTTCTGAAAGGACTTGGTCCTTCCGTCCCAGGGGAAAGTTTTAAGGACTTTTGGATGTACTTCCAAGACTGTCCACTAGAGAGAGTATGAACATCACTACAGGACCGTCTTGGTAGGCAATGTGTGTAATAGATGGTGTGTGGGAGGAGGGAGGAAGGGAGACCTCCATTCTGTACCTGGGAGACAATTACTGGATAGAAGACCCACCTAGCTCAGTCGTGGAGCAGTGGGAGTATATCTGGACACACAACCTCCCCATTGGATCCCTATCCCAGCCAATTTCTTTAAAGTGCTATTTATTTATTTTGGTACCAGGGATCGAACTTGGGTCCTTGCACTTTCGAGGCAGGCGGAGGAACCACTGAGCTAAATCCCTGCCCCTATGGCACCCAATTTCTTCCTTCTGACTTTCCCCCAGAACTCAGAGGCCACATATGCCTTCGTCCCACTCCCCTTTACTCTAGCTTCTCACCCTTTAATCTTCTTCCATCCCTCATCTGCACCCTCAGTCCTCTCATACGTGATTATTTGCACTTTCCTGAGCAAGCCTTTTTCTACTATCCTCTGGGCCTTTGCACATGCTGTTCCCTCAGCCAGAGATGACCTTGCTCTCTGGCTGCTTCACCAGACAGACTTCTTTCACATACTCCAAGAAATTGCCCTTGGTTTCCAGGCTGATATTACTCCTAAGTGTTGTAATTGCTTACTGTTTTTTAATTTTTCGAGACAGGATCACACTATGCTCCATGCTGGCTTTGACTTTACTGTGTAGCCCAGGCTGGCCTTGAGCTCGAAATCCTCCTGCTTCAGTGTTCTGAGTGCTAGGATTACAGGCATGTGCCACCACACTAGGCTACTTGTTTGCTGTTTTGTCTTCTGGATAGGACCAGCCTATAGGAGATGTCAGTAAATGTGTTTGAAAGTAGTGAAAGACTTTGATCTTTTATGAGTACAATACTCAATGTATGGGGCTACCTTGGGCCCCTACTTGCACCATGCCCTCGTGGGCCCATTATACTGTCCCATGCTGCTTTATCAAATAAAGGAATGTGACATTGTGGCATGAGTCTTTATGAGTTCAAATCCTAGCTCTGTGATTCAGCTGCATGACCTTGGGCAAGTGTTGGAGCCTCTCAGAGTCTTCACTTCCTTTTTTGTAAAATGGTGATAATTTCACTTCTGCACTGCCTCCTGGTGAAGATCAAATTAGACCATGCATGCGAAACACCCAGCATTAGTCAATTAGGTGTCCTCCTCCCCGAGCTTGAACTTGGAAATCAAATTGCCCTCTGAGTTTTAAGCCAGTAAAATCCATGCGTCAAGAAGGAAAAGAGCCAGGTGGGGGAGTGAATGAGGCGAGAGATGGTTTTGTAAATGACTGAAGAGTTTTGTGAACGGTGCAAACCTGCAAACCGCAATCAAGGTGACCCGCCTGTAATCTCAGGGAGGCAGGGCTAGGATGTGATTGAAATTGAGAAAGCAGAAGCCTAATCAATTGCATTGTGCTCTATCTGAAGGGAACAGAAGGCTGCACTGAAATGGGGTGCAAAGGAAATTCATTCAGCTGCTCTGAGGCAGAGATGGGGAGCCAGTAGGCACAGGGAGGCTCTGGTCTTCTGAGGAGCCCAATGAACTCCACATGGTTCGCTGGCCTGCTGAACCTTTGCTGAGACCACCCAGGCATCCAGGTAGCAGGCAGAGCCCCAGAAGGCAGATGAGAATATTCTGCTTCCCGGAAAAGGTTATAGTGACTAAGAGCACTGGTTTGGGGGCCAGATTTGGTTTAAACCCCTGTACTGCCACTTATGCCCTGTAAACTTTGAAAATGTGGATTTAGGGCAGGGATTTAGCTCAATGGTTGTTTCGCCGGCTGTTGCGCAGGCGCAAGGACCCGAGTTCGATCCCCGATACAAAAAAAAAAAAAAAAAAAATGTGGATTTACTTCACTGTGCCTGTTTCACTGTTAGCAAAATGAAGGCAAAACAGCTTTCTTTTTCCTCGGGTTCTGTGAGGATGAAATGGCTCAAACATTTTGTAAACAGTAGGGACAAAGAGAGCTAACGTGTCCTGAGCATTTTATTGCTCCTTTACAGATAAGCACATTGAGGCTTAGAGAGATTAATTAACAAAATCACACAGCCAGGGTATAGTAAAAACAGGATCCATGCCAGGTACTACAAGAGCTGTCGCCTTAGCTACTAACTCTGTGGCAGGTAGAAACACAGGTCTCTGAAGTACACATCAGGCTCTTGTGAGTTTGGTTGGCCAGAAGCTATAGCCCGCAGGAAGCTTTGGCCCCTGAGAATTTGCAGAGCTACGGCTCCCACTCCTACAATAACCAATCTGAGCAGCTACTTGTAGCCTCCATCTCTTGCTTTCATTTTAACAGCCTCCAGCACAAGGCTGGGCACAGAGAATCCTGACGGGCTTATCACCATTTCTGTTTTATTTATTTATTTATTTATTTATTTATTTATATTTATTTTTATCACCATTTCTTTAGGCCTCTTGATTTCAGAGGACTCCCAGGGAATCTTTCTGCCAATAACTTCAACATAGTCAAGGAACACAGCGCATGCGCGCGCGCACGCACTCTCGCACGCATGCACAGACTCGGCAGAGATACTCTCTCCCCAAAGCCTCAAGGCAATGAGGTTGAGTGGAAACACTGGGCTTTAGTGTAAAGCTGGCTGTGTCACATACAGCTCTGTGACGATGTCGCATCATGTAACCCCTGAGCCTCAGTTTTCTCTTCTACCAAAGGGGCTAATCATACAAGCAAATTCAAGACTGGATTAAATTTTTTTTAAAAAAGGATGTAAACACATCTGACATTCAGCGGACAATAAATGACTTGTTATTCTTAGTACTATTATTCCTCCCCGGCCCAGGTAAATTCCTCAAACCAGGGACAGATCTTATTCATGTTTGTGTTCCCAGCCTCCTGCTTAGCAAATCCACCACAGAATCCATGCCTAGGAACTGTTTGCCAATTGCAACATCCGTGCCGAGCTCCCAGATTCCTCCCCCATCCATTCCCTTAACAAGTCCCAGGGTCAACAAACACTTCCTGAAGGGAGAGGTGGGAATCCTTATTCTCTGCTTCCCCTCTTTCTACACGGAGGCATATTAGTTCCAGTTTCTCAAAGGAGAGTGGGAAATTACAGGTTGTTTAGAATTCCTGATTCCAGCAAGTAGGAGCCCCTGGTCACAGTAACAAACAAAACTGCTTCCAAACTGCTTTGAAAGCTCCCTGGGGACAGAACTCCCCTAGCAAGATCCACTGAGCTAGATGAATCTTGTCCCCTTCCTCCCTCTTCCTCTGTCCTCTTCAGGGGAATCTGATAGCTGCAGAGCCAGCTGTGGTCTTTTCCTCTGCCTCTGCTGAGGAAGCCCAAAGATTGTCCCAACATGCCTGTGACGACTGGTAAATCTGCTGAAATCAAGTGAAGAATCAGCAAATCCATTGTGCACAGACTGAAAGCCACATCAGCAATCAGGGGGACATTTTGACTTATCTCCAGTTGCCTGTCCTTTGTGTCCATCCTTCAAATGACCCTAAATTCACATGGGGACGGTCAGTGGAACTTTGAGATGTCACCCTAAAACTCCATACCCTCTGTGTCCCATGCTTGGTAGGCATTAGAGCTCGCTCACCTTCCCCTCTTGCTCCCAATGACCAAACCTATTCTATTCACCTCGCACCAGCCACCATCCCTCCCAAAGGAAGGTTCAGGGAATTTTCATGGTTCAAAGATTCATATTATTTTCCTTATCAATCAGTAAACACACACTATCCAGAGAGGTGCTGAACCCAAATCTGGGCCTGGACCACAGCTTCCAGCCAGCAGGAAAGGTGTCCAGCAAAGACTGCCCATCTTTGTAACTTACATACACAAGAGAACTGATAGTAGGAGGTAAATTCTTAGGTCCTGGACCAGAGTGGGATGACAGGAGGGCAGGAAAGCAGGGATAGGAGATAAGTGAGGGAAGGGTTACATAATTTTATAAATAACTAGACAAGTTGTAAGCATTTTGGGGAGGCAAGGGAAGAGAGGCTAGAAGCACATAGGGCCTGAGTTGAGAAGAGGAGAAACAGTGCTTGGGGTCTGAGTGGGTGAGATATGCCCTGTAAGCATCCATTTCCTCTATCTGTAAATGAGTGGGTTGTCCTGGATTTAGATTTAAGAAGGAAGGGGGAGAAACAGTGCCGAGGGTCAGAGTGGTGGTGGAATGAGCTTTTAGCCTCTATTTGCCCATCTGTAAAACAAGTGGGTTTCCCTAGATGGGGTCAGAGCACTTGGTCTCCTCTGACATGCTAGGACTCTATACGGTTCTATACCTGGGGACTTTGGGACCGGAGCCCTGGGGACTGGCAAGGGCTGGTGGGCACTTGCTAAGAGGTGGCTGATGGCTGTTGGAGCTATGTCTCATCCCCAGGCTGGTACTGTGGCTCTGTGGAGGTAAAGTAGTCTTCCAGGAAGGACTGCAGAAATTCGAAGGTGGGTCTCTCCTCTGGGTCCAGCCGCCAGGTCTGTTCCATGGCCTCGTACAGGGATACTGGGCAGCCCGGGGGACACGGCATGTGGTAGCCACGTTCCACCTGTTCTAGCACTTCCCGGTTAATCATGCCTGGTGGGTGGGGCTCCATCAGTCAGGGAACTGGCCCCTCCCAAAGGGGCAGCTCAGAGAAACCCTTCCCCATGACCACTCCCCAACCCCTGACACACCTGGGTAGGGGACTCGGCCCTTGGTGATAACTTCAGTGAGCAGGATCCCAAAGGACCACACATCTGACTTGATGGTGAATCTGCCAAACAGAGCAGCCTCTGGAGCTGTCCACTTGATGGGGAACTTGGTCCCTGAAGAGGTAGAGGAAAGAAGGGAAAATTAGTGGTGGTGGTGGTGGGTCCCTGCGAACTGCTGGATTAAAAGAATGGGTTTTTAAGGATTAGGGATTTGGGGATCCTGAGAAGAGGTCTCTGGATACAGCAGAAAGGACTTGGTACATAGTTATCACTTGTCATGTGTCTAATCTTTTTCTTTTGAAGCACTGGGGATTGGGCCACAGGCCTTGCATATGGTAGGCAAATGCTCTACCAGTGAGCTATACCTTTTTTTTTTGGTACCGGGGATCAAACTCGAGACCTTCCGCTTTCGAGACAGGGAGCGGAACCACTGAGCTAAATCTCCTGCTATACCCTCTGTCTTAAGTGATATAACTTAACTCATTGAACCCTCCCCAAAACCCCCTGAGGTAGATACTTTTAGACCCTCATTTTACAGCTGAGGAAAAGGAAGCACCAAATAAGGTAACTTGCCCAGTTTACACAGCCAGCAAGGAGCTAAAATTCATACCAAGCATTGTGGCTACAGAGATCACACTACTATGTCCTATTGCCTCTCCTTTAAAAATTACAGCGAAGTGGGCACGGTGGTGCATGCTTGTAATCCCAGCACTAGGAAGGATGAGGCAGGAGGATAGCAAAGTTCAAGTCCCACCTGGGCCACTTAGCAAAACCATATCTGAAAACAAAAAATAAAAAGGGCTGGGGATGTGGCTCAGTGGTAGAATGCCCCTGCATTTGATCCCCAGTACTGCAAAATGGAAAAAAAAAAAAAAGGAATCATAGCAGTGGCTCAAATATAGTAGGTGATTAATAAGTACCTGTTGACCTACTGAATATTTTCTTTTTGCTTTTTTTTTTTCTGGTACCGGGGCTTGAACTCGGGTCCTTTCGCCTGCACAGCAGGCAGTGAAACTGAATATTTTCATTTTACAGATCAGAAAGGCAGCTCACTGAGGACAGTGAGTGGCTGAGCTGGGATGTGAACTCAGAATTGCTTCTTACACCCAGCAGGATGTCTGGGATAGGTAGGGGTGGGAATGGGATCCTGAGTAGGACTGAGCTTTGGGGAGGTGAGGTGAAGCAGGGCACCTTGCTGGGGGTTGTACTCGTTATCTGTGATGAGGCGGGCCAGCCCGAAGTCAGCGATCTTGCATGCCAGCTGTTCCCCCACCAGGATGTTGGCAGCCCTCAGGTCTCGGTGGATGTAGTTCATGCGCTCCATGTAGGCCATGCCGGAAGCTACCTGGGAGGGGCCAGGGTGTGGAGAGATGGGAGCTCATGTGGGCTAACAGTGCCCTGGCCTGTGTGAGGGGTGAGGGGCCATTTGAAAAATTTGCTCTCCAGATGGGGCTACTGAGGCCTAGAGAGAGGCAGTGCCCTGCCTCAGGTGTCACAACAGATACAATGGGAAGGCTGCACTCCCAGGGTCAGGCTAGGTGTTCCTGGGCGGAAAAATCTGTGGAAGGATAACAGGAAGGAGGTCTGGTCCAGTTTACCTGGGATGCCATGTCCACCAATTGGGGCAGCCTCAAGTCCTGGGCCTCCCGGCCCTTGAGGAACTCCAGCAGGCTACCTAGGGAGAGAAAGTCAGAAAATCAGCAAGACCCTACTCCCTGTCTGGTTTCCCTCTGTGGGCCCCGTGGAGGTTGGCTCTGTCTCCCGTCCCCGACTGGCTGGCCGTCTCACCTGGATCGCCGACTCAGGATCCCGTGGGTTGCCCCAATTCCTATCTCGCCCAGGCCCTGCCTCGGACACCGACTCTGCCCACATTTCCTGACCCGGACACGCCCCACTTAGATTCTGCCCCAGATCCCGGATGCTGCCTTGCCTTGGTTTGCCCAACCCCAACCTACCAGCCGATTACCTGCCACTGTGGAGGCTCCGTCCCTCTAACTAGCCCCCCCTCCCCAGCGCTCGAGTACTTCTGCACATCCCAGCCCCTGGTTGGGACTCTGCACAGGGTCGCTCGTCCACTCATCTAAGCTTTGCCCCAAACTCCCCCCTCCCAAGCCCCACTTCCTGGCCCCGACCCTCACCGTGGCACATGAACTCGGTCACGATGTAGATGGGTTCCTCTGACACCACTGCGTATAGCTGCACCAGCTTGACGTGACGCAGCAGCTTCATGATCTGCGCCTCCTCCAGGAAGGCCTTTGGGGACATGGTGCCCGGCTTCAGCGTCTTCACCGCCACCTTCGTAGTGCCGTTCCACGTGCCTGCCCGGGTGGCCACCTCTCGTCAAAACCCGCTCCCCACCAGCCCAGTCCCTTGCCCCACCCCACCCCACCCCACCCCACCCCACCCCTGCCTGAGATCCTGGACCTCCGTACCCAGCCACACATCCCCGAAGCAGCCGGTGCCCAGCCGGCGCTCCAGAGCGATGGAACTGCGGCTGATCTCCCAGGCGTCCTTGGCCAGGCCCAGCGTCTGCGGCTTCATGGTGGTGCAGGCCGCCGTAAGCAGGTAGCACAGCCCGTCATTCACCTCTGAGGGGTGCACCAGGGGAGGGAGGTCACAGACAGGCCAGAACACCCCCATACTCCTCATCCCACCCCAGCCCAGGTCAGGCCTCAAGATCAGGTGTAAGCAGGGCCGGGGATTTAGCTCAGTGCCACCGTGCCTGCCTCTCAAGCGCAAGGTCCTGAGTTCGATCGCCAGTACAAAATAAATAAATAAAATAAAATAAAATAAAATAAAATCAGGTATAAGTAACTAGGCTCCAGGTGAGGTCATGAGCCAGCAGTGGATGAACATGTTGGTGCCCAGGGAAAGAAGTGGCACCCAGAGGGAGAGATGATCCCTATAAGAACTGTGACCTCATAGGAGGTGACCTCCAGCTGGGCCTTTAAAGATACGGTGGAATTCTGACAGGTGGAAATGGGATTGGGAATTGCAGGCATTGTTGTGGATGTGAGGCCCACTGTGTTCCAGGGACTTTGTCTTTGGTTTATCCAATCAAGGTGGAAACTGGGTCATTGACTCTCACCTTCTCAACCGCACAGCCAGTGCTTCATCAGGTTAGGTTCACGCTGCTCCTACCCAGCTTCAGAATCAGCTGCTTCTGCCTTTCTCCATTGCCACTGATTTAATCTGGCCACCATTACCTCTCAACTGGACAATGGCCATTGCCTCTTAATGGATCCCTCGTTCAACCTTGCCCTTTGACATTCAAGCTCGACCCAGCATTTGAAGTTCCTCACCAATGTGCAGACCATCCTCTGTCAGCGCCCTGTGGTGGTGGCTTCCTGCCCTGGTGCCTTAGTGGGTGTTCAAAATGGCAGTCCCTCCGTGTTCCAGATTCTGGCCAATTTCCCACTCAGACACTAGGGGGCGCTACTTGGCCGCAGGCTGATTCATGCCTCAGTTTCCTCTGGACTCTACAGAGCAGGATCCAGGACTGGGAACCTCATACTTGGTTCTGACACTACCACTTTGGAAAACCTTTCCCTTCTCTGGGTCTCAGTCTCCCCAGTGGGATAACACATCAGTGGGTTGACTTAGGGGTCTGAAGTCTGCCTCACCCATGTAGTGCTGCACCAGCTCCTGCACAGAAGTGAACTGGGCCCGTGTGGTGATGTAGTAGCCACCTGTGTCCAGCTTGCGAATCTTGTAATGCTTTACATGATCGCCTCTGGTCTGGTCCCAATCACGGATGGACAGGGAGTAGGCACCTGTAGGGAACAGTCACTTTGGATCCACTGTCACCCTCTCCCCCATTCTGGTAGCAGAGAGAGGCTCCCTCACAAGCTGGAGACTCTTAAGTCTGAAGGTCACATCTCTAGAGCCCAGAGCCAGTCTGAGATCTGTCTCTCCTGTTGATCCCAGTCTTGGCCCTGACCCAGTCAACCCCCTACCAACCCTGAACACACACGGATGGCTGGGCCTCCCGGTTGCAAGTGATGCTGCCCCCACCTTTGGTGGTCTCGCTCTCCCGGAGGAGAAAAGCCCCCTGGGGGTTGCCTGGTGAAAGCAGCTGCCTCTCCGCATCCTTCCTCCCGATCTTTCCAAAGTACCACCTGTTGGGAAGGGCAGGCAGGAATCAGGTACTCTTCCTTCAACTCCAAATTCAAGCTCCTGAGCAGTCTCCTCACAAGCCAAGATTGAATTTCCCTACCTGTAAAAAGAGGCTCACATACAGCACCTGCTTCAGAGCTTGGGTGCGAGGATCAGAGAAGGGAGGGGGTTGCCAGGCATACAGTAGGTACCCAATAAAGGTTAGTTTTCAGTACTTTGGGTGTTTCACAATAGCTGGAAGCCAGTCACTCGTGCCCTCATCAGGGTGCCACAGGTCTCTTGGTCCGTCTCACTAGAGTCCTCCATATACTCATTTTATAGATAAGGAACTTGAGGTTCAAAGAGGGAAAGTGACCTGCCCAGGAGGATGGCTGATGTGCTTCACCTAAAATCCTCTGCCACCCACCTTAGGTCTTTATCTACCACCTCAGGCCATCACTCAGATTCCTATCCCACCCCTGACTCCCAATTTTCCCCTCCTCTGGCTTCTAAAACAACACTTATCTTGCTTCTCTTCCCCTTTCTGACTGTTCCTGCCCAGCTCTGAGTGTTGCTTTGCCCTCAGTCTTAAATTGAGGATGTTGTCCTAAGTCTCAAATTCAACCTCAGGCTTTACTCATACTACTTTCTCTTGGGGGTTCTTTCTGGGATTGAAGTGTAGCTCTAGATCAACTATGCAAGTACATGGGGTGGTTGAAAATTACAGTGTATGTTTAATTTTTTAAAAATGTATTGCAAAAAAATATATTACAGTAAAAGACACATTGCCAAGAACAAGGGGATAAGTGTGTTCAAAACAAGGGGAAGTATTTTGATGGTGATTAATGGCAATGTGTCTTTTACTGTAATTAAATTTTTAATTTAGGCATTCACTGCATTTTTTAAATCACCCTCCTACACTGGAGAAGCTGAAGTGACCACAGGTGCTATAGAAGACTCAGATGTCATCTAATCACTAACTTGGCCTGTGACTAGCATGGGCTGAATTAAAAGGAGCATAGTTTGCAAGCTCATTTTGCTGGGGATTTAGCTCAGTGGTTTCACTGCCTGCTGCGGAAGCGCAAGGACCAGAGTTCGATCCCTGGTACCAAAAAAAAACCCCAAAACAAAACAAAAAAACCAATTTGCAAGTAAAAGGAGCATAGTTTTCAAATCAAGTGGTGCAGAAGTCTCAGAGAACCCTGGGATGGCCATTCTACACCTGAGTACTGGGCACAATTAGGGAAACAGAAGAAAGCATTGGCAAGTGGTGTATGCAGGAAGGGAAGGAGGAACTGTGGAAACACTGGATAGACAGGACATAGTCCCAAGTTTTTTCAAAGCTTTGCCTCCACCCAGACTCATGACATTAGCTTCTTCCTTAATAATCAAGATGATAAGAACAGGACTTATTTTGTCCTAGGCTTTGCTTTATACAACATGCATTCATTTAATTCTCATGACAATGCTGTGAGGTAGGTACTATTATTAGCCCCCATTAGACAGTTGAGGAAATTGAGATACCTAGTGGTTAAGTGACTTGCTTGAGGCCACACTGTGATGTCAGAATAGGAACTTGAGCTGTCTGCTGTAGGGCCTGAGCTCTTAACCACAACACTGCTCTTAACCACAGTGCAACGCACCTCTCAGATAACGTGACACTGTGCCCAAGGGGCGGACACAGCATGAAGCCCCAAACCTCTAGCCCTTTCCTCATCACCCTTCTTCTCCTTCCTGCCTCCTGCCATCTCTGCAGATTTAAGGTCACTTGTGCTCTGGACCCTGCCCACTTCCCTCTACTTAGGGAAGCCCCTGCCCTGGTGCAAGAGCAGCCCTCACATACCCACATTTCTTCCTCTCCCCGAGGAAAGTGTCCTCAGTTTTTTCTTGTCATCACCACTGTGCTTCTCTCTTGAAATCATGCTTCACACTTGAGGCTCCACTTCCTCACCTCCCACTCCCTCCCCGGCTCTGCTGTCTGGCCTCTGCCCCTACTCCACAGGAGTGATGGTTCCTCAAGCTCACCCCCATTGCCAAATCCAGTGGCAACCCCTGACACTTCCTCTTCTGTTTCCTGCACCTTCTCACCATCTTGGCTCTTCTGTGTTGGCCTGGCGTTGTTTTCCTCACTTACCCAAGGGCTCCTTTTCGCTCATGGTAGCTTTCCTCTAAGTTGGGCCCTGGGGCTGTCCCTTACTGAATTCCCTCCCTCTTTCTTACCCCTCTTATGCAACTTTAATTTTCCTGTCTACTTGATGAGTCCCAAATTTCCCTCAGCCTGGGTGTGTCAGCTACAAGGGCTACACCACACAAAGGAGTCTTGGTGCCTATTAGGAAAATGTGCCCTTCCCCTAAGCTAATTCAGCAGCGTGTCTGGGCATGGGCAGGGAGGTGGCCGGGCCTAGGTTGAGCACCTCCCATACCAAGTACAATCTAATCTAACTGCTGGCAGCCTCCTCCATTAGGGGCTCCTTTCAATCCAGCAAGTGCCCCTCCAAGAGCCCATGTAGCTCTGTCTTTTCCTGTGTCTTCCACCACCTTAGCAGCTGGTTCCACCACCCACTCAGTCCAAGACTTCAATTCATCCTTGATTTCTTCCACTGCAAATTGATACCAAGACCTGGGGGTACCCATTCTGAAAAATCCCTTCCAGTCTTTCTTTCTTCATAAACGTAAGGTACAAATGAGGATATAATATTTTTTCTGAGGTCTTGGGGGTCAAACCCAGGGCCCCATGCATGCTAGGCAAGGGCTCTACCACTTAGCTACATGCCCAACCCCAGGAACAGATCTTAAAAGACTTTTATGAGATTCAGTTTCTTCATATGTAAAAGGAAGACACTAATAGTATCAATAATGTTATTTTGAGAATTAAATGAATTAAAGTAGGTAAAGTACCTGTTCCAGTGTCTCAAAGCTACCCTGTAAATGGTAATTCCCTACCTGTCTTTTTTCTGGTGCTGGAGATTGAACCAGGGCCTTGTGGATACTAAGCAGGTGCTCTGGTACTGATCTGCACCCCCAACCCTTCCCTGGCTCTTTAATATAATTAATTTTAAGTAATGTTTCCTTACATTTATTTAATCTTGTGCATACTATGAGGTCATGGTTGCAAATGTCTAAATTTTAAAAAATATTACACTAAAAGATTCATTGCCATTAATCTTTCTCAAAATACTCCTCCTCACATGAAACACACTTATCCCATTGTTCTTGCCACTTGCTGAAGCATTTTTGGAAGTCCTCTGTCTTAAGCATCTTTAGTTATGCTGTCGTGGCTGCCTCAGTGTCCTGAATTCATTCAAAATGTTTGTCTTTCATGGTCATTTTGTCTTTGGGGAGAGCCAAACGTCACATGGTGCCAGATTCAGTGAATAAGATAGATGAGTACACACCATAGTATTTTTCTCTGACAAAAATTGCTGTAAATGTTTCAAGTTGATTCAGGACATGGAGGCAGCCACAAAAAGACACTCATGAATGATTTCCAGAACTGCTTCAGAAAGTGGCAAGAATGGTGGGATAAGTGTGTTTGAAGCAGTGGGAGTATTTTGAAGGGGATTAATTGCAATGTCTCTTTAACTGTCATATATTTTTATTTAAGCATAGTTTTTTTGTTTTGTTTTTGAGATAGGGTCTTGCTCTGTAGTTTAGGCTATCCCTGAGCTCACTATGTAACGCAGGCTGGCCTTGAACTCATGGCAATCCTCCTGCCTCAGCCTCCTGAGTGCTGAGAATACAAGTGTGTGCCACCATGCCTGGCTAAACATAATTTTTTTTTTGGTACTGGGAATCGAACTCGGGACCTTGTGGTTTCGAGACAGGCAGCAGAACCACTGAGCTAAATCCCTGGCCCCTCTAAACACAGTTTTTGATAATACCTCCTAAGCACTCATTTTACTCCTGAGCTACATCCCTAAATTCCACTTTACAGTTTTGTTTTATGGTGTTGAGGGCCTCAGGAATAATAGGCAAATGCTCTACTACTGAGCTACACCTTCCGACCTAACTTTACAGTTTTTAAGGTCATCATTGTTGTTGTCACTGAGCAGCAAGGTGTACAATGCTTAGCAAATGCAGCCAGAATATCTGGGTTCATACATCACCTCTACCACTTACCAGCCATCATAAACTTGGGCAGGATATTTACTCCCTCTGTGTCTCAGTTTCCTTATTTTTGAAATAGGACAATAATAGCTTCTAACTATTAATTCACAAAAAGCACTTTGAATTTAGAGTGTCTGAAACTTAGTACCTGCTATGGAAATACTATCTACCATTATTGTCATCATTATCTTCTCTGATTCCCACAATAGCCCTTAAAAATTCCTAGCCAAGGAGGCAGGCTCAGAGTGCAGCAATGACTTGTCTAAGAGGTGGCCTCAGAGTCTGGACCCCAAGGCCCCATCCATAGGGCCAGCCTTGGCTGGCTACCCACTTACTCTTCAGCTTGGATGGAGTCCACAGGGGCCACGTAGTTGCTGGGAACATAGCCAGTATGTCCAGAGCTGAGGGACCGAGCCTCCCACCAGTCACCTTCACTGTAGGCACAAGAAAGGGGAGTGGTCAGTAGTAGTTCTGGTCCCTGGGACTCCCTGGGAAGTGGCAGGGCTACACAGACAATCGGTCAGAGACCGGCCCTGCCAACCCTTTACCTCAGGTATTGACTGCAGGGGGTTTTGTCTGCTCAGCCCCCAGACTGCAGCTGCCCCATGAGAGCTTTCCCTTGAAGAAGAAATTAATTTGAGAACATTTGGACCTCCTGGCTGCTTCCCCTTGCTCCTCAGCTGAGCTGGGGTTTAGGGATACAGCAGACTCTGACTAGGTCACTTTCCCACTGAAAACCCCACAAGAGCTGCATATTTCCTTCTAGATAAAATCCAGACTCCTCAGCATGGCTTAAAAAGCTGTACAGATCCTACCCCGCCCACCTCTCCAGCTTCTACTCCTTCCATTCTGCAGCTCACACACACACCACTGTGGTGCTGGGGACCGAACACAGGTCCTTGCATATGCTAGACAGGTGCTATACCACTGAGCTCCACCCCAGGCCTGCATCTCATTCTTTATGATCCACCTAGACTGAACGACTTGGTGGATTCCAGAAAGCATTATTTATTCTCATTCTCTTGTCCTCTTTTCTCACCTCTTCTTTTCTGTCTCAGTTTTTAAAAAAACCCACCTTCTCCTGGAAAACTTCTCTGATCACCTCTACTCTGGAGACCATGTTTGTTGTTCTATCTGTGGCCATAATTTCTCATGTTCCTTCCCCCTACATACCAGCAATTATCCAGTGTGTTTTTCTTTAGTTTTGTTTTTGACAGTGCTGGGAATTGAACCCAGGACTCTGTACATGCTAGATAAATGCTCTACCGCTGAGCTATATCCCTAGCCTCCCTTTTCTCTTTTTAAATTTTATTTTGAGACAGGCTCTCACTAAGTTGCCTAGGCTGGCCTTGAACTTGCAAGGGGATGGGATTACAAGCATGTGCCACCACACCTGGTTTTCTTTTTGATTGTTTTTGTTTTTTGGTACTGGGGATCGAACTCGGGACCTTGCACTTTCAAGGCAGGGGGCAGAACCACTGAGTTAAAGCCCTGACCCTGTTTTTGTTTTTTTGAAGGGCAGGGGAAGGGTGCCAGCTAAGCATTCTACCATGGAGCTATACCTCTACCCCTGACTGAGGATTTTTACCAACTAGGCTGGAGCTTTCTGCAGATAGGGACCAGGTGAGACTCCTCTCTGGGTCCTTCTCCCAGCCCAAAACCATGCCCTGAGCTAGGTGGCCTGGTCACTTACGTATTGTTCAGGATGTGGAACTTCTCGCCCTTGTTGAAGGTAAGGTCATCCTCTGTCCGGGCCTCATAGTCATATAGGGCAGTGAACAGGGTCACCCCGGTCCCTGCAGAGTCAAGGGTACTCAGCAAAGTAGGGCACAGAATGCAGCAAAGGAGGGTTGCACCCCTAGATTCCTGTTCCCCAGTCACGCACTGAGCCTCCCCACTGCTGCAACACTCCAGTGCCCAAAGACCTTTGGAGTCCAGTGGATTTCTGGTTTGGGCCACGCAGCTTGAACCCCATGGGTCTAGGACACACAGCTTCATGCCCTTCTCACCCTGGGGAGTCCCTAAATTCCCCACTCCAACTCTTCCCCACCAAGACTTCCTCCTTGGGCAGTGGCACCTAAGAAGCCAAAGGAGTTCTCTTTACCACTTGCATCTGTCATCAGGATCCCCCTTTCAGAGAACCCCTCATTCTGGGATTCCAGGGTAGGGCTGCACACACTCCCTCAGCCTGCTTGAGCTCAAGAGCCAAGCCATGTCTCCCACATCAATCTGGAGGCTTCTGGAGAAAAGTCCAGTTCTCCTCTTCACTAGTTGCCTCCAGGCCCCAGGCAGCACCTGCCTCAAGCCCTCTGGACTCACCTGAGATGCCCCTGATAGTGCCACCATCGAGGAAGGCGGGGCTGGTGGGCTGAGGGGAGAAGTTGTTGTAGTTGGGGATCTGGGCAAAGGAGGATGCAGGCCAGGACTGAGTGGGGTCAGGGCCATAGTGATCTGCAGCCCCATGGCTCCTGAATTTCTCTTCCAGGTCAACATCCTCCTTGGACCCCGGCTCCACCTTCTTGCAGAACACACAGCCCATGCCAGGTACCCTGCTGTGGAATGGGGACATGCCTCACTCAGGGGCCCCACCAGGTGCTCCAGCCTATGCACACAAGCTCACACATGTATACACATGTGTGTTGGTGTCAGGGGGTGTGAGTGTGAAAGCTGATGTGGGTGGTATGTCCTTTGTGAGAGTAGCTGGGTAAGGGCCTGGATTGGGGTCCTCCCTAGTGAGGGACAAAGGTGGGCAGGACCACCTTTTGCTTTATCTCCCAGATGCCTCTGTTTTGTGTGGAGAGAGTATGTGTCCTCCTGTCTTGTCTTCCTCTCTGCTTAAGTCTACATCACTGAGGCTGGTTTTCCTTTCTTTTCTTTTTCTTTCTTTCTTCTTTCATTTTCTTTCTTCTCCTCCTTCTCCTTCTCTTTCTCCTTCTCCTTCTTCTTTTTGGAGACAGGGTCTCACTACATAGTTCAGGCTGGCCTTGAATTCACTATGTAGCCCAGGCTGGCCTCAAACTCTTGGCGATCCTCCTGCCTCAGCCTCCCAAGCACTGGGTATGTGCCACCATGCCTGGCTTGCTGGTTTTTTTGAGACAGAGTCTTGTTTTGTTATGTTGGTCTAGAACTCACAATCCTCTTGCTTCAGTCTCCCAAGAGTGTGTGAAACCACACCCAGTTTTCTGGGACTAGTTTTCTACATCAGGACGTTGCTGTGTTGATATATGTATAGCAACACAGATATATATATATGTGTGTGTGTGTATGTGTGTGTTTTTTTTTTTTTTTTGCTGGGGATAGAACTCAGGACCTTGGGCCTGCAAGGTAGGCACAGTGCCACTGAGCTAAATCCCTGGCCCTGATTTATATATTTTTTCCTGCCACTGCTTTGATATGTTGTGTTTCTGTGACTCCTTCAGGGTCTTTGTGCATGTGTGTCTTCATGTGGCTCTAAGTATGTTTGTTTGTGTGTGCATGTACAGCTCTTGATGAATGTGTGTATGCAGATTTGTGTATATAGGAGTGTGTGTAAATTGCTACCCATGTGTTTGGCTATGTGTACACATCTTTACAAGTATGTGTGTGTGTTGCTGTAAAAGTGTGTCTGCGGTGTCCCTCTGTGCACACAGGTCTGTGTCAGAAGGTTTCTCTGGTCTGTGTGTCTATGCCTGTGTATGTGGCTCTGTGTGGAAGCATTTGTGCCTGATCGCTGTGAACATGTGTGGGTCTGTGCATATGTGTATGTCCCTCTGTTTGTGCTCACATCTAAGAGTGTGTGTGTGTGTGTGTGTGTGTGTGTGTGTGTGTGCTGTATGCCTGCACCTGGAGATTCCCCACAGAGGGGGATCAAGGCCGTTTCCTGTTGTGGGTCCAGCCTCCGGCCTCTCAAGCTGCCTCATTCTGGCTCCCCTCTCCGTTACCTAGCAACAGGGCCCTGGCAGGAGGAGGGGGCTGCTAGGCACTGTGGGGCCCAGGAAGGCCACCCCCACTCTGTTTCCTGACCCTGAAAACCTGAGCACCCCCTAGCCCCCACTCACCCCTCAGGCCCCTACTCCTGGGTCAGCAGGGCTGCAGCATGGTCCTTGGAAGGGACAGGAGACCTGAGAGTGAGACAGAAGGACATGAAAGATGAAGGCCCTGCCAGTGTTCCTGCCAGCCAGCTGCCCAGCTCCCGCCCTCTTCAGGAAGCCAGAAGGCCTGGGCTCTGCCCCAGCACTTCTGCCTTCATTTTCCTTCCTACTGCCCCTGGCATACTTACCCATCCACCCTCACAAAGGACATGCCACCCACACCAGCTCTCTCACACTCACACCCACCTGACACCAGCAAATGAGCACACACTCACACCAACACACAGGCACACAACACTCACAGCATGTCCTTGTATGAGTATGTTTGCCAAAACCACCACACACCAGCACAGCTCTCCAATGAGCCCAAACTCTGATGGACAATAGTATACATACAAGCTGGGTGCTATGGCACATGCCTGTGGTCCCAGCAATTGTGAGGCTGAGGCAGGAGGATCACTGGGGAGTTCAAGACCAGCTTGGGCAATATAAGCAGACTCTGACTCAAAAAAAAAAAAAGAAAAGAAAAGTGGGGGAGCCCAGCCAGGTGTGGTGGTGCCCACCTCCAATCCCAGCACTCTGGGAGGCTTGGGCAGGAAGATTGCAAATTTGAGCCGAGCCTGGGCAATATAGCAACATAGCCAGAACTTGTCTCAAAATTAAAAATTAAAAAAGGACTGAAGAGGTAGCTCAGTGCAAAGGCCCTAGTTTCAATCCCTAGTACCAGAAAAAAAAAGTACATATGTGCATAAGCCTGCCCTTCAAGTTAACACTCATATTTTTTAATTTAGACTCAACTCTCTCTAACTGGATTTCTATCAAGCCCTCCTCAGCTCCCTCACAAGCCCCAGCCTCCTAAAACCAAGCACTTCCCTGGAACCCTGCCTCTGCTCCTAGCAATGGGCTGGGCAAGCCCCACAGCCCCTGGGTCACCCCTGGTGCCAGAATGAAAGTGGACATGAACCTCCAGAGCTCCACTCCTATTCCCACATCAGAAAAGGACCAGGTCAGAAACCGGGGCCACCAAGGTTCTTTGGGGAGCTCCTCTAATAAGCCAAGCCTTCACTATCATCTGTGTCCTCCGATCAACATGGCAGGCAAGTTATTGAGCAAGGGCTTCCAGCCCTCCTCCCCCACCCAGAAACTCTGCCATTTCGACACTCAGAGAGGAACTGGCTGGGGAGGGGGCTCGGTTTCCTAAGATGTTGTAGGGTGGGAGCAACCTGGTGAACCCCGATTCCCCTAGAGGGTCCTGAAAACCCTAGGGAAAGGGACCTCCAACTTGCCTTTCTTGGCCTGCAGTCCCTTCCCAATACCCTCTTCCTCTTCTCTCTAGGTCTTGTCCTTCCTACTAGGGCCACTTATCTCTTCCAGGAAGCTTTCCTGGATCCAGCAGGTCCTGCTGTCAGTAAATGGTTCTGATCTCTGGCCCAGCCCCACCTGCCTGCCACCCTTCGCAGGCACTGTGTCTCCTGGGATGTGCGGGGTGACACCCATGTGGCAAGCTTGGAGGCAGGCTGTGGTGAGAGGCCTGCCATGAAATAGTCCCTGTTCACTAGTCCCTCACTGAAATCTTTGTCCTGGGACCCTTTCCCCAGGGTGAGGCCACTGTGTCAGAAACATCCCAGGATGCTGCAGGCTGATTCGGGGGAAGGGGGTAAGAATGACGGGGGTGGGGTGTCCAGGGCCAAGCTGTAGAAGTTTCAGGAAGGTGAGAGGAAAGATGGGGTAATATGAAAGCAAGGGTTACAGAGTGAGAACGAAGATCTTTTCACAGGAAGACAAACGCACACCTCAGGCAGTGCACCGAGCTCCACACAGGCCTTAGGCATGGTCTTACACACGCACGCATGCATGCACGCGCGCGCGCGCACACACACACAGTGAAGTTAAGTGCTTACCATGTGCCCACCACTGCATTAAGCACTTTACCTATCCCACCTCATTTTATCTTCCCAACAACCCTATGATTTTAGGTATTATTATAGATGAAGTTACTGAGGCACAGAGAGGCTTAGAAAGTTTTCCAGGGTCACACAGATGATGTCTCCTGCCTTTGGCTCTTAAACCTGAGTCCTCAACCACTTCTCTCTCCATTTCCTGTTGGACAAGGACAGTTGCAGCCAGTACCCAAAACACCAGCAAATGCAGAGCCCCCGTAGGAACACATGGTTATATATAGCCCTTCCCTTGAGACACAGCCCAGCACAGAGCTCCTCTGTAGAGGATGCAGATTTATACAACTCTGGCATCCATGCATAGGTACAACATTGCCACCTCCAATAATACCCAAGTGCACATTGCCACAACATATCTGTATCAGCCCAAGGGGAGCCCCAGATTCTGCACTCCTGGTATGGTACGGGGCTCCTTTAACAGGGCTGTCAGCGTGGCCGGCAGGCAGAGGTGGGTGGCCTTCAGGGCTTTATTACCCACAGGCTTGAGGGCACCAAGGCCCCACCTGGGCCAGGCCTCTGGGACCAGTACTCTGAGCGACTCAGGGGATGTGGAATGCTGGGCCTGTCATCTGCATGGCCCAAGGCACTGAGGTGCCACACTGCATGTGACCATGCTCATGCAGTTTCTTCTGAGGAGACAAAGAGCTGGGAGGAGACAGCAAAAGAGAGGAGACACACACAGGCAGAGACTAAGAGACAAAGAGACAAAGAGACTGAGAAATGCAGAGAGACCTAAAGACAGAGAGACAGAAGGAAGAGACAGAGCCAAAGTGAAACAGTGTGGTTTACTGGTAAACTGACTTTCAGGAAAAAAACCAAAAAAGACCCCACTGAGCCCTGGTTTATAACATTTGTTGATTTCTGTAGTGTAAATAGTCCCACCATCACTGATTTAAAGCTACCAAAGTGACTTCCTGAAGGCCAGGCCAGGAAAGGATGCACAGAATCAGCTAGGAGCCAGTGCCAGCTGGCTCCAGCCCATCATTTCCAGAAAGACAAAGAGACAAGTAGAGACAGAAATGCAAGGGAAAGAGGAAGAGCAACAGAAAGACAGAAACGAGAAAAGAGAAAGGCAGCAATGAAGAGAAAAGGTGAGAAGTAGAGAACTAAACAGACCAGGAGAAAACAAAAGCAAGGAGGGTAACCACAGGCTGGGTCCTCTCTGCTTAGGCATCTGAGTGAAATCAGCCCCAGGTCTCTTCGCCCTCCCCTTGCTCTGATCCCAACCACGTGCCACCAATTCTATGGGGAGTAATTGGACTTCCTAGAAGTCTGGGTGGCAATAGCTGTTAGTAAAAATGTGCTAATTTATTAAACATTTGTGCAGTGGCTGGCACTGAGCCAAGCAATTCCTATGCATGATCTCATTCTGTGACCTTATGAGGTACATTTTCTTTTCTTTTTCCTTCTTTCTTTTTTTTTCTGTGCTTATGATTGAACCCAGGGCCTTGCACATGTTAGCCAAGTGTTTGCCACTAAGCTACATCACTAGCCCAAGACAGGTTTCATTTTTAACCCTTCTTTTACAGATGAGAAAAACTAAGGCACAGGGATGTTAAATCACTTGCCCAAAGTTATGTTTTTTTTGTTTTGTTTTGTTTTTCATACTGGGAATCAAACTCAGGACCCTGCACTTGCAAGGCAGGCGGCAGAACCACTGAGCTAAATCCCCAGCCCCCAAGATTATGTTTTGAGTAAGAAAAGCTAAAATACGATGCCAATCAATTTGGCTCCAAAGCCTACCTTAAGCACTCCTCTATTTTGCAGTCCTGGCAGAAGCAATAACGCATGTCCCTTTATGATTGTCCACTGCATTCCAGGCCCTGTGCTACATGCTCTAAATCCTAGTTATGGCCCAGAGAGAGAAAGGGATCTTTTTTTGGAAGCACTGAACTTGTTCGGCTAACACCAGAAAGGGGGCAACTCAGAGTGACCGTGAGCATTCTGGGCACTGCAGAGACTTGCGTCAGTTTATGAATATATCTCTTTCTCTCCCCCTCCACTTTGGTTCTGGGGATTGAACCCAGCGCTTTGTGCATGCTAAGCACACACTCTACCATTTCCCTATACTCCCAGCTCTGAATATGTCTTTTGAACATCTGGCTGACAGAAACTGGCTCCCAGAGCCCCACTAAGGTCAAAATTAGGTTATGGGTGTCAGAGCTGAGCTCCAACTCTGGACCACAGTGCTCCTCCTCCCCAGCATCTGCCCCTGTGTGGCCTTCCTGGCTCGGTTCTTTAGGAGTGCTGTGGCCTTGGGTGAATGTCTTGTCTGCATCTTCTGTGCAGAGTAGCTGGGAGGGCTTGATGAGATGAGGCACTTGCTCAGTGTGCAGTGACTGAGTGAGGCTGAGAACCACAAGCAGCAGAGTAGCATGGTCCCCAGGGACACTTAGCACTCCATCTGCCTCTTGTGTGTGGGGGGGTGGCAGATGGGGAGTGACTCACCCGAGGTCACACAACCAGGCGGGAGATTCAATGCTGGGACTATTAATTTGGTTCCAGAGTTCTGTTCCAGACCTTGTCCGTGTCCACCAGAGCCTGAACAGGATCACACTGGCCCTGACTGGTGAATGTCATTCTCTGGCCCAGCTGCTGGCCAGCTGAACACACTACTGCTCTTACATGGCAGCTAGGGACCCCACAGGGAATCTGCCTCTCACTCACCCCTACACCTAGACACAGGAGCCCCAGGCCCATCTTTTTTTTTTCTTTCTTTCTTCTTTTCCTTTCCTTTTACTTTATTTCTCTTCTTCTTTCTTTTTTTTGAGGGGGGAGTACTGACGATTGAACCCATGAGCACTCTACCACTGAGCTACATCCCCAGGCCTTTAAAATTTTATTTTAAAAACTAAAAAAAAAAAAATTTTGGTACCAGGGATCGAACTCAGGACCTTGTGCTTGTGAGGCAGGCATTAGCACCATTGAACTAAATCCCTGGCCTCTTAAATTTTATTTTGAGACAGAGTATCCCTAAGTTCCCCAGGCTGGCCTTGAACTTGTAATCTTCCTGCCTCTTGAGTAGCTGGAATTACAAGTGTACACTACAGTGCCCAAGCCACCCATCTTTTCTAGAGAGTCACACTTCTCACAGCCATGTCAAGGTTTTGATGTAGACATAGGATTGTCCTGCCCTTCCCAAGCCCTGCCAAGAATCTGAAGATCTAGAAACAGATTTAGGCTCAAATTCTACCCCCAAATAACAACCAGCTTGAGACACTGGGCAAGACCATTCATCTCTCTGGGCTGCAATTTCTTTCTTTCTTTCTTTTTTTTTCTTTTCTTTTTTTTGGTACCGGAGATCGAACTCGGGTCCTTGGGCTTGTGCAGCAGGGGGCAAAACCACTGAGCTAAATCCCCGGCCCTGGGCTGCAATTTCTTTGCCTATATAATAGGAATATAAGAGCCAGGTGTGGTGGTGCATGCCTGTAACCCCAACACTCTGGGAGGCTAAGGCAGGAGGGTGGCAAGTTAAAGCCCAGCCTGGGCAGTTTAGTGCTAAGTGAGACCCTGTTTCAAAATTTAAAAAAAAATTTAAAGGGCTGGGGACCTAGCTCAAGGTGAAGGCTCTGGTTCAATCCTCAGTACTGAAGGAAACAAAAACCAAAAAACAAAGGAATACAAATCTTTACCACATGGAGTTGTTCCTGAGCATCAAATCAAAGGCCCAGAAAACACCAGGCATACAGTAGGTGCTCAGTAAACCTTCACTTCCCACCTTTCCCTTTGAGGATGGCCCTAAAATGGCAGGGGGGAGGTGAGCAGGAGTGCAGGGTTGGGCCAAGCTGAGAAGAAAGAGAAGTTCCCAGGCTAGGCAGACGGCCAGGCCTGCCCAGGAGGCCTGGGGATATTCGCCAAAGGGAACTGGGACTTCAGGCAGCAGCAGGAAACCACTGTCCTTTGAGAGTTCAGGTTTCTCCCCAGGGCTCAGTGCCGGGCAGGGGCTGGCCTGGGCCCTGACCAGGCTTCCACCCTCCCCACAGACCTCCCACTGAGCCCCATCTCCCTTCCGGAAGCCATGCCTCTCAGTAATCCTCTTCCATCTCACACTATTGTTTCTTGAGCCCTCAAGACCCATTCCACCATGGACTCTGGGGCTAAGACAAGACTCATCAGACTTGACGGGCCCTGAGGAGGCCAAGGGAGGGTGTGCGTGAGCGGGAGCCAGTTGTCTGTGACCCACTAGCTCTTCCCGCCACATGGTCCTGAGGGTATCAGCTCAGTGCATCTGAGTAGAAAAGTGGTTTTCTACCCATTGCTGAAACCCCGCTAGCCTCTAAACTGGGGGTCTTTATGTCTACTTGGCCTGGGGCTTGGAGAAGAACATGAGTGATCCTGGAGGAGCTAAGGGAATAGAGTCCGCCGTGTAGCAGATGGGAAGCCACAGGGTCCTGTAAAAGTTTAGGGGCAGTGTGGAGCTTCTTGCTTTTTCCCACCTCCAGGCAGACCAGCCCACTTCATGTGGAAAGGGCTTTAACTCCTCCTTCCTTCCCCAGCTCTGGGGTCTTCTACCCAGCCCGCCAAGGTCTAGCCATTTCCTTTGCCGCATCAGCCCCAGGCGACTGCAGAGAACAGTGGGACACCCACACATAAGCTCACAGGTGCAATCTCATTCACTCAAAGCTGGAACCCTACTGACACTCACACCCTCACTCACAGCTTCACACTCTCTGCCCTTTGGGGAGCAGGAGCTGACTGTGAAGCCCAGGAAGCCCATCCCTTCCTCCCCTCAACCTTGCTGAGGGCCACCTGAGCTTGGGCAGGGGTGACCTGGGGTTGAGCTGCCTCCTTTGCCACATCAAGGTGAGATGCCCTGGACTGGGGGCCCTAGCCACTGATCCCCAAACCTCCACCTTCCCATCTGTGATATGGAAACAGAGCACTGTTCTCCCATTTCCACCGCAGATGGAAGGATGGTAAAGGCTCCCAGGTCCCTGAGAGACTACATGCCTGAGGGTGGCACCAACTGAGCATGGCACCATGGAGGAGGAGGACACAGCTCAATCCTGCTTATCTCCCCAGTATGGAGCCTCCACAGACATTTCCTTGTTAGATGCCAGCTACATGCTGGTCCTTGGAAACCCTATCAGTGAGACCCAGTCTTCCTAGTCCCCCTCAATATTTTGAGAAGGTGAAGGACAGGTTCACTGGGTCAGTGATAATCATTAGCCCTTTTTTGCAAACTGCTTTCTGCACGTGATTCACATGGGGGAGGGATAATTTCTATAGACCCAGAGAAGCCTGGTAATTTGCTTGCAGCCACACAGCAATTGAGGGCCCAGTCTTGCTAAAGAACCCAGACTGCAGATCTGCTACCCCAAGATCCCAGAATACTGAGTATCACTGTCTGCTGGCTGCTCAGTTGGACATCGCATCCCCCACACACCCAAAATGGGGGCGAAGGCGGGGACCAAAGGGGGTGGCCAGCACTAGTGGCCCAGAGCAGCTGGCCTCCCCACCCTCTCGTTGCCATGGAGACGTCCCCTCCAAGCTTTCGCGGTGAAAGGCAGGATTTCCGTCTGGGCGGCCAGCAATTCCCGGATCCCGAGGGGACCTCGGACCAAGACCTTGCCACTGTGGGCGGGTGGGGAGGGGGACCCAGGGAGGGCCATCCCTGCTGAGGGCGGAGACTTCCCCAGGAAGCCGGGACCTATGCCTCCAGCGCCTGGAAAGAGTCCCCTGCAGTCCGGAGCTCGCCCACCACTGCAGGGGCAAGGAGGTCTGGGGGCTGCTTCAGCTGCCTCGTCCACCCTGCTGGCGCCAGGTTTCACTCCGACTTCTGCCTGTTCAGGATAGGGGGACTCCGAAGACTCCTGGAACTGTGACCCACTCTCCAGAAGCAGTTCTCCAAGACCCCCTCCCAGAAAACTCGCGCACCTGATCTCCCCAGGAACCCTGCCTAGCCCCTCTCTTGCAGGCGCCTCAACTTCCTATTTCTCACTCTCAAGGTTACCCCAGTTTCTCCCCCAGACCCTTTTGGAGGGCCCGTTAGTCCTTCCCCTCGACTCTCTCAGCCCCCTTCCCAATTCCACCAACCTCATTCTAGAGGTCCCTCGGTTTTCCCCATGAGGCCTTTTTTTGGGTCCCTTTAGACTGCTTTCCCCATGTGCGATCGGCCTGCTTCCCAACTTTTATCAGTCTCACCTTCCAGATCTCCTTTTTTGTTCCTTAGCCCTTTTGAGATGGGGTCCTCCGGCCATAGCCTTCCTCGGGTCTCCCCAGGTTCAGGCTTGCTCTCCCAGACCTCTCAGCAGGGCCGGGGGCGGGGCACCTTCTGCCCTTCCCACCCCCACCTGTCGCGGCCGCCTACCTGGTCCGAGGGGAGCTCGCTACACCCGAGCTAGAGGTTGAGCCCCGGCTTCCGGCAGCTACAAGTGCCGACGACGTGGGGGAGAACTGGGGTGCTGCTCGCCTCTGCCCGCCGCCCCCTCCGGGCAGGGAGGAGGAAGCCGCCTCGGACTTCTCTTCTTGCGGTGGCGGCGGCAACGGCGGCGGCGGGGAGAATTCGCAGTCACGCCCCAGCCCCAAGCCAGCTGCTCACAGCGGGGAGGGGCCCCCAGATCCCAGGCCCGCCCGCCCCCACTTCCCGCCCTCCCGGGGTTACCGGGGTTGGCTCTCCCCAGCCCTCTCCCTGCGCCCCAGCTCCTTCCCCAGACCCCCGAAGGGGCAGGGTCCTCACCCCTAGAAGCACCTGCTCATTTAGAGTCACTGCCGTGGAGGTGAGGAGGGCCTTTCCCTATCACTGAGCCGCCTACCCTACCACAACCCGCTCCTGTGCCCCCTGGGAAAACCGAGGACCAGATCAGGTCTGGCCTTACCCAAGTTCTCACAGCCAGCTGTCACCAGAGCCACCATGGATCCTGTCACCACGCCTTGCTTCAGTGGTTGAGCACTGAGGGCCGCAGGGCTATATGAGGCGGGGACAGGGGGAGACCCTGACCTTAGGAAACTGCTTTTCAGAGCAATCTGCCCTCAGGCCACAGCCGCACATCCAACTTTTAGAAAAATTGAGCATCATCCTTTATCACAGTTCAGGCTTTCCTACTAGGAATCCCTGACCCCTACCCAACCTGGGGTTCTGCACCCCCACACCTTTACTTCTTTAGCCTTAAACCAAGGACCAGGAAAATCTCTCCTGTCTGGGGAGGAAAAGGAGTGTGTGGGAGGGTTGTCTGGTGGAGAAGTGTGTGTGTGTGTGTGTGTGTGTGTGTGTGAGAGAGAGTGTTGGGATGTAGTGGTGAGGCAGGGAGAGTATAACACAGAAGTGGGGGGCCAGCTGATGGTAGGCAATGAAATGATGACCTTGGTTTTGGAATCAACAGCTGGGACACATTCTGTGGCAGGTGTTGTTTCTGTGCATGGGCAGGGTTGTGTGTGTGTGCCCCAGAGGGACTGTGGTATGACAGACAGCAGTGGGATGCAGATGAGGACATCTTTCTCTCAGGAAAATGGGAGGAAGGATGAGGAGGAAGAAGGAGAGCCAGCAGAGGTCTAGGGACTTTGGGAGTTGGCCTCATCGTTACCTCGCCGTTGTCAAGAAGCCCTTGGCTGGCCATTACCAACAGGCTCTACCTGTTCAATTAACAGACGAACATTGACCATTGCCAGTCAGATGCCAGCCTTGGGGAGCACAGAGATGAAAAAGACTTGTCCCTGCTCTTGGTGGATCCTCCAATCTATCAGGCTTGCCCTGTCACTCTTCAAGTCCTGGTTCACAAGAATCTTCCCAGGACACCTTTCTGGATGGCTGCCCCACCTCCTGCAGGTGCTCAGCAACTCCAGCCTGGGGTACTCCTGGCTCCGGGCAGTGGGTGTGAGGAATGTTTTCCTCAAGGGCAAGCTCTGCTTCTGGATTTTGTCCATACCTTCAGTGCCCATGCTGGGCCTAGCACAGAACAGCAGGCTCTCTATTTGTGAATCAGCCAGGTGTGGTGGCACATGCTTGTAATCCCAGTACTCTGGGAGGCTGAAACAGGATAATCATAAGTGCAAACCCAATCTAGGCAATTTAGCAACTTAGAGAGACAGTGTTTAAAAAAGAAAAAGGCATGGATCAGAAGGCAAGGAACAAGGGAATGAACTGGAATGTCCCCTCCAAGCTGCTCAGAGGCAGGGCTTGTGGAAGGCAATTGGGTTGTGGAGGTGGTAGGGCCAACTTGCTATTAGGTGGTGGGGCCTAGTCAGAGGAAGCAGGTCACCTGAGTGTGACCCGGAAGGGTACATCTGCTTTCCCAGCTCCTCCCTGCTCTCTCTGCTTCCTGGCTCTCATAAAATGAGCAGCTTTTCCTCTACTCTGCACATCTGCCATGCTGTTTCTTCTCAGGAGCCAGCAGATCATGGACTGAAATGTGAGCTAAAATAAAACTCTTCTCCTGTAATTTGTGGATGTCAGGTATTTTGTCCCAGCGACAAGGAAAGTAACTAAGACAGCAAATGAACAGATAAAAGCCTGACGAAAAAGTAAATTATTAAATTTAAAAATAAGTGGAGAAATTCAAGAATCAGTGACCAAAAAATCAAATGAATGTAAGAACAAAATTACATTTTTTTTTCTTCTGCAGTACTGGGGATTGAACCTAGGGCCTTTGCCCTGAGCTACATCCCTAGTCCTTTTAACTTTGAGACAGCATCTCACTAAGTTGCTAACTGCCCAGGCTGGGCTGGAATTTGGTGTCTTCCTGCTCCAGCCTCCTAGGGTGCTGAGATTATAGGTGTGTGTCTCTACTCTTAAAAATACATGCCAGACCATATTATCCCTTTGCTAATATCCTCCCAATGGCTTGCCTTTCATTTCACTTGAAAAAATAATATAGTACAATATTTATTAAGAACAATCAGCTGGGGATTTAGCTCAGTGGTTCTGGTTCCTGCCTCAAAAGCTGAGGACCCGAGTTCGATCCCCGGGCGGGGGGGGGGGGGAACCAAAAAAAAAAAAAAAAAGAATCAAATTGGGCCGGGGATTTAGCTCAGTGGTTCTGCTGCCTGCCTCAAAAGTAGAAGGACCTGAGTTCGATCCCCGGTACAAAAAAAAAAGAACAATCAAATCCAAAGGCCTTGTTATGGTCTCTGTGTGTCTGGCTCTGCCACCTCCAGTCCCATCTTGGGCTATCTTCCTCTTTAGCCACACTGGAACCCCTTTTTAGTTCCTACAATACATTGAATTTTTGCCTCCAGGCCTTCTTGTGTGTTGTCCCGTCTTTTCCTTGCTGTCACAGTCCTGGCTCCTTTCCCTCCTTCACTTGAAACACCATCTCCTTAGAGAGGCCTCCTGGGCCACCTCATTGAAGGCAGGCCCCTCATTCGTGCCCTCAGCTCTCAGCTTTCCTCCTTCACGGCAACCACAATCTGTAATTGTGTATTTCTCTGCCCTTTACTTACTGCCTTGGTGAGATCAGGGCTCTGACCTCAGGAGTCACCACAAAGGACAGGGATAGGTGGATGCCAGGTTGTCATTCACCCATTCAGAATCACCGTGGTTAGGAACACAGGTGTGGGGCCCAGACTGCCTAGTTTGTAGAGCAATTCTGCATCTTCCTAGCTCCATGACCTTTTATTCATCTTCCTGTACTTCAGTTTCCTCATCTGCAAAATGGGAATAATAGTAGACTTCATCTCACAGAAGTCTTGGGAGAAATCAGTGAGCTCTTAGGCTAGTGTTTGCCACAGCCAATGTCATATAAGTGCTTGCTTTTGCTTTTTTATTGTACTGGGGATCAAACTCAGGCCTTCACACATGCTAGGCAAACACTACACCTCTACATTTCTACATCTGGGATACATCTCTAGCCCCTTTTTAAATTTTGAGACAGTGTCTTGCTAAGTTGCCCAGTCTGGCCTTAAATTTATGATCCTCCTGCCTCAGCTTCCTGAGTAGCTGGGATCAGAGGTGGGCACCACCGCAGTCAAGACTTTGCTCTCATTCATTAATTCACTCATCCATCTGATCAAACCTCAATCCTTTGAGTCACTACTCGGTGGCAGCTGGTCCTCAGCTAGGAAGCATGGGCAGTCCTTGGCCTTATGTGGCACAGGATTCAGCATAGGACAAAGAGGTCACAGGAGGGTCGTGTTGAAACTGCCCAGGCTGACCTGTCTTCTTTCTGTACAGAGCCTGTGCTCACATGTTCCTTTATGTTTAAATTTTTATTTATTTATTTGTTTTGTTTTGTGTTTTTGAGACAAGATTTCACTTTGTGGTGCAGACTGGCCTATGTAGCCCAGGCTGGCCCCAAACTCACAGGGATCCTCCTTCCACAGCCTCTGGAGTACTGAGATTACAGGCATAGGCCACCAGGCCCTGCACGTTTCTTTAAAACAATGTCAAAAACTAGTCCCCCAAACAAAAGCAAGCCTAGTTCCCATATAGTCATCCCTTCTCCTGCTTTCACTTCTGCTTTCATTTGCATTTCACTGATTCTCTTGTCAGTTCCCACAGTCCCTTTCTACAAAGACCCACACTGCCCTGGCTCCCTGAGCCTCCAGTGTGCTTGCTGGGAAAGCCCCGGCCTGCAGGAATCCAAGTACTCTCCTTCTCCGAGGGAGGAGGAAAAGCACCTGCAATGTACACAGGGCCACAAACTCCCAGCCTCTAAAGAATACCAACCAGGCCCAGCTGGCCTCTGTTGGGTTTCTCCATAAACTGGCGCTGAATCCCTGTCCAGATGGCCAGTTCACACCCTTGCGCTGTCCTCCAACTTCCCACCTCTTCTCCTCCTTCCCCACTGGGTCGCTCACCTTCTAGGACTTCACAATTTCTGCTGTCGCCTCTCCTGCACCATCCGTCTCCCTCTCTCATCGTCTTATCCTTAGTACAAAAACCAGTTCTAGAATCCCATTTCAAAAGAAAAAATCAAAAACTTTCTCCTAGAGAATTAGCATCTATCTTGATTTTTTAGGCAGACCTGTAGCCCATTCCTAGTTGATGAAGGAAAGTTCTTCTTTGGAGAGAACCGTGGGCTGGACTTGTACACAAAGCGTAAGAGTAGCAGCTTCCAGGCCAAGAGAAGAGAGCGAACAGTGAAATCTGTCTTGTTGGTCCTTGATCTGGGACTTCACAGTCTCCAGAACTGTGAAAAATATATATCTGTTGAAGAATGAATGAACGAAAGAAAGAAAGAAAGAAAGAAAGAAAAAAAAAGAAAGGAAAATTCCAGCTGATAACATAAAAGGATGTGAGAACTAGAAAAACTTCATCTCATAATCCCAATCAAGTCACTGATTTAGGGCTGTGGGTGTGGCACCATAGTAGAGCACTCACCTAGCAAGTGTGAGTTCTTGGGTTTGATCTCCAGCACCACCACCAAAAAAAAAATCATTGATTTAAAAAGTTTCCAGCAAAGATGCAGTGATGCCATCTTAGTCATCTTGGGCTGCTATGATGAAGTACCACAGACAACAAGAATGTATTTTCTCACAGGCATGGAAACCGGAAGTCCCAGATCAAGGCCCACCAAGGTTGCTTTCTGGTGAGGATTTTCTTTCTAGCTTCCAAATGGCCACCT